GAGCACGGCAACAAAAAGGTCTACATGAGAAGATATACTTGGTGTTCTTCTGCGCCTGAGTGACTAGCACTTTCCACCAATATAAAATTAATTACAATCTTTTTATGGAATCTTTTAGTTCAGCATCACAATCAACTGATCAGGAAATTTTTGCTGTCGTGGCAGCTCCCACCTTGGTGCATTTGTTCAGCAAATGCAGACATGTGCCTTTCCATATCCAGCTTTTCTGTACTCACTGGAGATCACCTGGATCTTTCTCACAGTTACATCGCTGACAAAAGTACACGAGTGTTTGCAGGCAAGGGAAGCCAGCAACTGCAACTCACCCGGTGTTCAACAGCAAAGTCAGTAAACTCAGATGAGAGTGAAATCCTCACTGACAATTCCAAACACCCACTTTAATAAACAGATGAAGGTCTATGTAGGCAGAGGTTATGGCAACCAAATTCTGAAGGTTTGCTTCTTCATTTATGAAACAGAAAATTAACATTTCACACTCCAGAAAGAGGCACTTCATCTTTTTTAATACATGCACTTCTTTACAGAACAATAAAAGGAAGGATGCCTTCAAGCACTTGTGGTTTGTTTTTTTGGTGCTCATTAGTGATTCAGAAACATGCACAACTCTTCCGCACAGAAGAGGCTTCTGGTAATGGAGTTCGTCACTACATCCCCTTACCTGCTATTTGAGTAACAGCTTATTTCAGTTTTTAAATCAGAGGACCAAATTTGCAAGGAATAGTATGTTAAAACAACAACAAAAACCAAATACCTGGAGTTTGATCACTGCTTCATTTCCTATGCTATATAGACGTTTATTTGAAAGAAAGGAAGGATATTTCAAAAGTGCCTGTAGAGTAATGTATAATGGCAACTAACAAGAAACGCATCTTTCCAAAACCAGCAAATTATGGAGGGTGTAAAAACAAGCAGCTCTGTTTATAACTGAAAGCTAGCTTGAAGGCTGGAGTCCCTGAAACACCTACCAAGCCTCGCCAGCTAAGGTCCAACCACCTTCTTCCAAGGCCTTTATGAATACCCCCTCAATGAAGTGTTTTTGAACTTGAAACTCAAGAATAGTGTGCAATTTCACAGCAATTAAAACTTAACATTCCCAACTTAAATCATACAAGCGAATCTCACAAACAGAAAGGCACAGGTCAGCAGCTGCCAATCCAGCCATGGGAATGCCAATTCCAGTGGGCCACCCTCACTTTTGGTGAATAAAACTTAACTGTTTCCTTACGTCATTTTCAACTATCAGCAAGCAGTGACACTGTGGCAACATGGTTTAGAGTCACATCTTTGAACTGGCTAAGAATCTCAGAAATAGTGCTAACATTGCCAACAGAGCCTTTCAAAAGACTAAAACAAGCGTATCAAGGACTCGGGTGAGTATGACTGGGTTTGAAACACTGCAGGTCAAAAAAGGACACATTTTTATATTTCTTCTTTACCAGTCAGGAACCCTCCAACAACACACTGATTAAACCTGAAATAATGGGAAACTACACGGATTATTAGGATGAAATGAAAGCATGTTCCTTTTTAAAAAAAGATAGTCTTATACAAGTATAGGCATGTTTAAATGAATGTTAATGAAAATGGCAGTTCAAAGCAGAAAAAGGAATTTTTAGTGTAAGAGTCCTGCTGTGCTGCAACTGGGTAAATGATTACAGCAAAGATGGTAACCGCCCCAGAGAACTGACAAACTAAGGTTACAATAAAATGCAACTGGTAGATAAAGTCATAACTGCAGACAATTTGAAGAGTAAAGGTAACAGTGAAATGTATTTGCATAATTAGTTAATTCTATTGTCATTATGACCAAGATTTCTGAGACTATAAATGTTAAATGTGAACAATTTTTTAAGTGTCTTCATTTTTTCTACTTGTTTTCCTGGTGGGAAAAATGCCTCAGTAGCTTAGAGGTGAAATCTGTAACAACAGCCACAGCAAAACAACTCCATAATAGCTATTAGTCAAACAGCTGCCACTTCATACTAGAATAGGCTGATCAAATTCTGACAGTTCTGAGCTCTGTAACCTTTTTTTCCACATTTCTTCCCAATTTGTTGTCCTCACAAATCTGTGTTGAGAGACATAACACAAGCAGCTTGACTCCAGCTGGAATGGCAAGCAAAACAGCCTCTCTGGAGCCAGTACTCCAAAGATGCTCCCAAATATGCTCGGACATTCATTTCACCCAAAGAAGTAAAACGAATGTACAAGGGGCCACGAGGTATTTGTCCACCTATATGAAATGTATACAAACTACTGACCCAGCCCCATTTCTCTCCACATCCACCTATAGCAAACCTGAAAATACAGCTGCACTTCTGAAGGTCAATTCCCTGGCATTACCGCAGCACATTCCAAAAGGCTGATATCAACATTCCTTCCTAGAGAGCTTGATACTGGATTGGTGACTGAAATGAAGAAGGTAGGTGGCGTGTAGAAGCAGAGTTGTTAAACAGCTGGCAACATCTGTGTTTCAGCTACTATCACACAACATTTACTAACTACGGCCAAAATATTGAGCAATTTTTAGAATTGTAGCAGTTTCCACATTCATTTTACTTCTTCCGATAATGGTAGTCACAAGGAGAGATAGTAGAAAATATATTTAAGTAATGCCAATCATTCAGTATTTCTTTTGTATCAAGATTAGTCTTCTGACAGTTCAGAATGCCTTCTATTTTGAAGCATCTAGCTCAATAGCAGGAATAGAAATGCATAGAACAGAAAATCTTGGTGGATTCTTCCAAGCTTATCCGTACTGTAAGTCACAAAATTCTCAATCAAATCACTTTGTGTAGGTCTTAATTATATTAAATATAAACTTATGCTAATGATAGTTTGCAGAAATCCAAAATCATCACCTGTTACATTCCTTAACAGTTGTAATTTGTTCCCCTGATGTTTTCTTATCCTTCACAGCTAGACAGCAAATAGAAGCAACACAGCAGCATGAAGATGCATACTGTATAAACACCATAAGGTAAATAACAAATTAAGAATTTTGAAATCTCTATAAAAATATTAATTAATTTAAAGAATTTAATTTTCTAGTTTACTGCTAGTGATTTACAAACAACTAGATCTCTCTGGATTGAAAAGAAAGAATAATCCGAAATTTACCTCGGTAAATTATTCCATACAGATTTGAGACAGAAGAAATGAAGCTCCACAGGAGAAGAGAATAGTAGGTTAATTTTTCACTCATGCATACCTGGACTCAGCTAACTTCAGTTAAATTATGCATGTAACTCATCCTATGTGCTCCCGAGAATGCCCCATACAATGTGGTATCTGTCCAAGCCTGGAATTCCTGAACTTTGCAAATCGTAACTAAGATCTAATTTTTTTTCATTTTAAATATGTAAACATCCTCTCTGACTCGCAACATAGGAGAGTTAAATCCATGGAATCATTCATATAAATTAAACTAGCACTTGGGTTTGTGTCTACCTGAAGTAAAGCAAAAAGAGCTGGATCCTGAGTTCATTCATCTCAACAAAACTGGCATCGCTCCAATTACTTCATGGCATAATTCACAACGTCCATGCAGTCTTTTAAAAGCTGGTGAGTCAGGTGATCAAAAACAGAGCAGCGAATTTTGTGCTCATACTTCCTCAAAATAATCTGTTTATGAAACAGACACTGATGCTCAGTGCTGGATATGAAATACTTGGGTTTTGATATATGAGAAACTGACCTTTCCAAACATTTGTATATGTGATTGTGAGTTCTGTGTATTCAAGGATGTTCAAAATTTTGTTTCTGAAATAACTATATACACCCATATGTATCAGACACTGGATTTGGAAGCTTCACCCTCCATAAACTTATGTATATAGATTTACATGAAATACACTCTGTAAAACAAACAAACAAAAAAAACCCAAACCCAACAAACTGTTAAAGGGAAACCAGGATAAATTCAAATAAACTCATTTTAAAAGGCACACTGTGTTACTAAGTACAGTAATAGCTTAATGAAAGCATGAATAAAGGCCAGGAAAGCCACCTGCAAAACTTAATTTCTTAAATGGTAAGACAAGAAATTTCTGCTGCATTGCCTTGGGTCAGAAGAAACATACCAGCACTTAACCATGTCTTGCAACAGTACACTGATTAATTCACAAAATTTTAGCACACAGATGAAAAAATCCTATCTAGTTACTAGATTGTTACTATTTGTTTATCTCCACCAAACAGAGTTTGCAAACTGAAAGATTACTCAAGTTAAAACCTGTGTGGCTATAAGGCTGTAGAGATTACATCCCTGCTTTCACGACGCTTTCTAATAAGCACAGCCAATCATAACATCAAGCTGAATCCTACCTGAAAACCTACACTTTCAGCAGCCAGTTCCTCCTAGTACTACACTAAACCATAGTTCAGTTCCAATTCAGAGGAAAGAATCAATCTTCAGGTGAAATTACATGAGATCAGTGAGCCTTAAAGGTCTTGCTCTTCCTGCCTTATCCTAGCCACATGGCACCACTCCTCAGATCAGCTATGCATATTTGTGAAACCCTTCACCGCATATTAAGCTGCGTAAAGTCAGATAGTTATCTGTGGGTTAGTGAGCTGAATGGGTTCACAGAAGGTATCCAACAAAAGACAGAAAAAAATTCAAGATGGAAGGTGAGACCTCTCCTATTTTGCATCAAAAAGCCAGCAGATCAGCTCTTAGTTTCTCATCAATATAATTTTCTGAAGAATGTGGGAAAGAAAAATCCTGAAAACACCTAAATACCAACCTGGCCCAACTCTTCTCACAATAGCTTGTGAAATCCAATAGGATCAAAGAATGGTGTAAGGCCGTAGACTTTCTACGGGTTGGAAGACAGCTTTATGGTTATAAACAGTAAACAGCATGTTTAACACCCAAACACCTTTAAGCAGCTTGTCTTTAAGGTAAACCAGCAACCCCATTACAAATAAAAGAATTTTATTGACAAAACCAAGTTAGACAAAATGCATTAACTTACTGAATCCAGAAAGCAGAGATAGGTTCCTGAGCTCTGAATTATGGCTTGATTTTTAGCAAATCCAACTGTTGAGAAAACAAAGATAAAATTATGGGGTACTTTTTACCTTTCCATTTTTTTAAGTCTTACTACAGTCAGGAACAGATGAAAGGAAATACAAAAATCAGTATCAGGTCAAGTACACAATTTTTCCATATTTAAAACCAAGTAATTTGTAAATATTTAAATAGTATGCCTATTTCAGACTTCATCTCCGAGTGGTTATCAGTTGTACATGTTAGAATTCTACCACCAAGTAGAATTAGACTATTTTTGCTAGGCCTCCACAAAGACATAACATGTAATCTGTATCTTGAAGAGTCCAGCTACCTAGGTCTCACATCCAGTACCTCAGATCATAGAATCACAGAACAGTTTGGGTTGGAAGGGACCTTTAAAGGTCATCTAGTCCAACCACCCTGCAATGAGCAGATGCTGAAAACCCTTGGCTGTATATACATATTCATCTCTTAAGTCATAACAAATAGTAACAAATCATAAAAAGGCAAAGAAAGAACAAGAGATTGCTAGGCAACTTGTTCTTCCCATAAGGGGGTCAGGTCCTCAGAAGGACTAAAAGAAAAAGTTCTGTTCCATTATGCTTGTTAAATATAAAGTATGCGAATACAAAAACTTCATGCATCATTTATGTAGTGGCATATGTAATGCAGAGGGGAGCCAAAGCAGAAGAATATATGTACAAGGAGCACAAACCTGGTTTATTTGTACCATAATATGTTATAGCACCTATGGAAGACCACACTGAAATATCAATTCAGTCAAAGGAAAACATTGGCATCTAAGGTCTTTTAGTTTCTGACCCCTGACACTCGTTGAATCTTTTACCAAACCATTTCAGGAAGTTGAACCAGAAGAAAACTTTTTTGTTAGCTTAATTTCTGAAGCGGATGACAGCACCGGAGGGTTAAACACATGGCAGAGCCAGAAAAAAAGCGTGGGGCGGGGAGCAGGAATACACAGCCAAGGGTAAGGATGGGACTGCAGCAACCAGCAATAAGATGAACTCTGCTTACCACTAAAATATGTCTGCAAGGTAGGAGTGTTTACCTGGGATAATTTTTGTGTGTTTACAAGGTCTACCTAAGAACACTCTGGTCTTTGAATTCTTCTCCTGGGCAGCACTGTAAGAAAAGGCCACACTATATCCATCGTTATTCTGAAAAACGCTATATGAATTCCACTTGGTCATATATGTAACATTTAAGCTTCTTTAAAGTATTTATGGAATCAAGTCAGGGAATCCAGCAAAAGATTGCCCTGACATGCAAACCAAGTGATGTGAAGATATGCAATACTGTGGGTTTTTTATTCTTTAATGGGAAAACTGGAAACGTAAAGCCAGAAAATCTCACCATGAAGTGGAGTAGGGTAATTTTAAATAATATTATCCCTAGAGTTCCTGATTTTGCATTTGAAAAAAGCAGACTTCTATAATTCTCTACTCTTCTTATGTGATACAGGTTTAAGTTTGCTGAGGAAACAAATTTAACTGGGCTCAAAGGTTCACTTAGTTTTAACGCACATGCTCCTCGGCTATTTTGCTGAATTGTCCAAGTACAGAAGACGACTTATGACTGCATTTCTTACTGCCTCAAAGGAACATTATGTCAACTACCAACTGAACACTGCTAATAAACACTCTTCCTCAGAATTGCGTTATTCTTTTCTTATGCATTTTGAGTATTTTAATCCTGACCTTAACTTCTCTTCATCATGGATTTCTTGGATGCATTATCTTGCCGTATATTTACATATTACTTTTTATAAACATATGAATCTCACATATACAGTTACTCTCATTCTCCTTCCTATTGGCAGTAAAAAAGCAGCTGGCAAAGTCAATAGCTACCACAACAGCAGAGCTCAATCCTGGCACAAGCAGTTTTAGTGGGAAACAACTGATGCAAGTTAGCAGGTCTGGACACGCCAAACAGGCAAAAACCCAGTACTGCGGAGGTCCTACTAAAGCAAGAGGTTAAAGAACAGGATAGAACTCAATTTGCCCAACATCAATCAAAGCAGTATCCTCATACATCTTTACCAGCTGTACATTTCAATGCTGTCATTAGTACACCCCAATATTTCAACAATCTTCAGTAGAAAATAACAAAGTACTAGGAATCAATAATGTAGGAAAAAAGTGAAGGAGGCTCAAAGGCAACTACAAGATGACAATTATATAACCCTAGGAACTTTTGAAATATTTCAGATCTTGTTTTCAAATAAAACACTTCAAATAAAATAATGAAATATTTAATATTTGTTCTGAGAAAAGTTGGAAAATGTTTCTTTCTAAGATTAAGGCAGAAACCATCCTGAAGCTTTTCATATACCAGCTATTTTTTTAGCGGGGAGAGAAGAAAATACACATATTTTTGAAGTTATTAATAAGAGAGATATAACTCCCCATAGAAGAAACTAGATATTAAAAATTGTTTCACCACAACGAAACCTATGTTTGGCATGAGTAAAAAATTTTCTTTAATATTTCTCTACTGAACAAAATCAAATGTTTGTGCCAGGTCTCTGAGTTTTGTAAGGCCTGCTTACTTGGTGAAAAGAGCCTGTAACCATGGTTACAGCCGTAAAAACTTAAGCCTCAGTGAGATATTAACATTCCTCACTCTTGGAAAGAAAAAGGTTTCCTTTTTTTAGGCAAGTGACCCTTTCTTTTTTTCTAGGTTCCCCCCCTTTCTTTTACATGTTAGAAAAGAATCAGAAATAAATCCTAATCTTGTGTAAATAGTTGAAGATGTGAAGCCTGACTAGCACATTGTTTCTGTACTAAAGCATCTTCTTTTAAAGGAAAGACTCCTTACAGTTGTAACTAGTCCTTAACATAATAAAAGTAAATCACTGAAAGCAAACAAATACTATGGATTTCAAGTAACCTGCTCCTAAAATGTAACAACCATGAAGAAAAGATGTCCTCATTTTAATGGTGACCTGAGAGTGACTTCCACATGAATAAGCTTGGTTTTGTTTTTTTTTTTAGAGCGCTACGCATTTCATACTATTATTTAAAACAATGCTCACAGCTGCATCCCCCACCCCCAATTTATTAAACGTTTGTTCAGGTTTCAGCTATACCAACACTGACAAATGCATGTTAAAAAAAAATAATAATAATCTCACATATCTCTAATGGCACAATATACTCCTTGTAGTTCACAACTCGAACTTAGTTTTAGTTTCGGTTTCCTAAAGTGCAAAGGTGAACTGACTTCAGAATTCTAACATAAATTATTTTCAAAACATTGCACCTGTATGTTACTGGAAATTAAAAACTAGTTTACATGCCATTAATACAATACTTTATTAGGAACAAGACTTTATACATAGAAAATGTTTTATAAAAATTGAAAACATATGACATAACAAGATGGTATTAACAAAACATTACTAACCAACTTTCCTAAGTACCATAATTAACAACCTCTGGTATTATTCTTTGACTTTTTTCCTGAGAAACTGCAACCTACTTAGCTTCTAGATCATCAACTAGTAAGAGAAGTAAGATTTGAAAGGAGACTGATCCCCCAATAGTTGAGGAGGGGGGAAGAAGATAAGATAAATTTCCAGGAATACAAGCAATTCTTGACATTGCTCAACTCCAGCTTTACCAGTTGCCCAAAAGAGAAAAATTCCCTCTACAAACCTTGCCTGTCTTTTGTCATCATCAGCTCAATAATGCTAATATTACAAGTTGCACTGTCAAAACAACAACAGTTCAGGCTCCAGATATTAAAATACTACAAATATTTATAGTAACAGTTATGCTGTGTTACTTCAGTATTGCTAGGTCTGACAACTGTTTAGAAAACAGCTTTCAAGAAGCCTAGAGCCAAAAGAAATGACAGTAAATAGGGGGCCTATACCAAGCTGCAGATGAATTCAGGGCACAAACTCCTATTTATTTGCATGTTTCAACAAGGGGATGAAAATTAAGCCTTCTGAAACAGAACTGGGCTTTTTCATAAGACCATTTTGAGGAGGCTGTAATAAGCCTGGGTTTCTTTCCAGTTACAAGCAGGACATTTTGTTAAAAAACAGAAACTGACCACATGTTGTGTTACACTGTTTCCAAAGTGTGTCTTTTAAGTGAGATAACTTGAAAGACACAAATTTGGAACCAGTTTTATATCAGTTCCTACCTGTCTACTCATTGCCACAAAATCCAGAATGATAGAAACATTAGTTATACAGCTCCCATACAAAATGTGAGCACACTGGTCTGCTTGCTTTGTCCTGTTGTTCTCCTTCAGAACACAGACATGATGTTCCAACTTCAATGCCATTCAACACCAGCTTCTTCAAAGAGCAATATACTTTTATTTCTATTTTACATTTCAGCAAGCTTGTCTACTAAAAAAGCTCCAAACATAAAACCACCAAAACAAGCAAAAGAAAAACTGATGGATTTGTTATCTCCTCCAGTGGGTAAAGGTAAGTTGTATTAGCATGGAAATCAATAGGGAATATCCCACCATACACCTATCTGGCAGCCCACTAAACATGTTGGTTTAGCCCCTTGTTACTTAGGAGTTTAGTGAGAGTTTTTTAGCTCACATCAAAACTTTTCTGAAACCTGTGTTTTGATCTGATCATCAAAGGGATATAAAAAATGTATTTTGTTCTATTTCGGGGTCTATTCTACCATACTGCGAGATATGCATTTACTTTTTAAATCATTATGTAAGAAATTTTGATTTCTTTTTTCTTAAAACCCATCTGCTCAAGATAAATCAGCTATCAGAAAGCCACACTAAAATTGTAAGCATTAACAACATTGTGTATATTACAATTAAACAAAATTCTTTTGCAGAATAGAGCATAAGTGTTAAGCCAAGTTCTTTTTTCCTGGACTTATAAACAAATTCTACAGAGCCAAAACCAACAGGACCGAATTCTAAATGGAAATGAGTTTTCGAAAGGAGAGCTCTGGAAAACAACGTGGGTTTTTTTCCATTGCAATGCAAGTGGCTACAAAGACACTTTTCAAACTAAAAAACAGAAGATGCCTGCGGTAACAACCTAACTCTCAAAAAAATGACTATTAAGCTACATACCACCTCGAGGTTGAGATGAATCATTACTACCAACGATTACTGGAACACCAGCATCTTCCAACTTGATCTTCCATTTTTCAATTATTTCAGCTGAACCGTCCTAGAAAAATGATGACATAGACATAGCTATTTTAACTTGTATGGTGAACCAAACACAGTCCAAAACAAAAATTCCTATCACAGATGGTATTTACTTGGACAGTATTTTAAATAAGGTCTGAAACATACCTTACTGGCATCATTAAAAACTGACAGTTCCATGGTTTCTTTAAAATCTTGTTCCCAAACGGACTTCAAGCATTCATCTAACCAGCAGTCACTGTTGTGAACAGGCACAATGACAGACTACAAAAAACCAAACAAAAATCCAAATGTATGTCAGTAAGCACTATTTCTGTTCACTTACAGTATAAGAATATTCATTTAAAAGGGGAAGTGCCAGATCCTTCTGAAACTAACTTTCACAAAAAATACATCTTAAAAATATAAAAGTAGGCAAAGCTCCTTTATTTTCATTATAAATATATGATCTGCTTTCTTCTCTATCAAACTTTCTTTTTTATTTTTTGAGTTCTACAAGATGGCGTTCGGTAGATCTCCAAGGAAACAGAAGAGGCTACTGAACCAAAAATGCTAACAAAACACCTATAACACCACACTAACCTGTTTTCAGTATTCCTGCATTTCTTACTATGCTCTTTACTTTGGTCTTCCATTGATACATCTTACTCATGAATTTTTCTTTAAGCTTACTACCTAATTGGAGACGCTCATATACGCAGCCTGTACCTTGGGCTCTAGCCAAGTTTTTAAAAATGGTTCTATCTAAAACTGCTATTAAGCACATTAGAAGATGACAAATGAGATAGATCCATAGTCTACCATTTCAATTGCAGGCTTTCCTATTATAGCCTCTGTTGTTTCAGTCACATACACACAAAGCATGAAAACTTATCTGAAGTATTTTAAAATTGGTTAGAAACCAGAGATGAGGGATTTCTTTGTTCAAGTACTCACGACTGTTCTCATTACCCCCAAAAAGCCAACAACCCCCCCAAATTCTTTCAGTATCTTAAAAAACAATACACTCCATTAACAGAATGCAAAGTCCTAAGAAAACAGCACAGCAATACACTGGCTATGTTTGCAAAGGGAATCCAAACCTGTACCTGTTAGGATCGTTTATAGATGGGGAACGTCAGGCAAAGAGCCTAAGTAACTTGTAAAAAGTCTCATGGGACATTTTAAGAAGTTCCTAGAAACAGAACTTAAACTCCTTATCGTGTGGTGTAACCATAAACACATAGTTTGAAGAAACAGAGGATTAGTTCCTATTGTGAGCATGTGAGAATCTTAAGAAACAAAATACTAGAAGAATACTAGAATTGAATTATTCAAGATTTAGTGACACGTGAGTACATGTACGTTGTGCGAATACATGCAAATGCATACATTAAGAGGCAGATTTTGTGGACATTGGGGAGTGTGTTCTTAGTTTTTTACAGAGTACGATGTGTGTACGCACAGGTATTACAGAGTATGATATATGGTACAATGATTAACAAATAAGAAACAACAACATTTCACAGCAAAATAAAAAAACCTACACTTGTCTAAAAGGAATAAACATCCTAATTTTTGGCAGGATGCTGTAACAGGAAAAAGGGGTATTTAAAAGAAGGAGGAAGAAAGCTACCTAAAATTTTAAGCAAAGCAGGTCTTTGACTTCTGTTCTGGAGAGATAAATAAGTAAAATAAGGAGAAATAAAAAATAAAAATATGAGATTGATTACCACATAATTACAATTACAACATACAGACAAAAAAAGATTATTTTAGAACTGTCTCAGATTAGTACTTTGAGACTAAAAAAATAAGTGAAAAAATGAGATTCTAAACCAATATATTCAATTTACTCAGGATTTTAATACCCTTTATGTCTAGATGGCAATTAAAATACGACCCTATACATTCATATTAATCAATCTAACATATTCATTCAGAAACAAAAGGGTTCTCTCCAATTCTTCCAATGACAATATAAACTAGCTACAGTTTTGCACATCCAGAAAAATCAATGATTTTCCAATTTGTTTTCTAATTAACTTAGTAAAAATTTGACTATGCCATCACAAACTAGCTTGATATTGGCTTGAAAATGGTAAAACTGGAACTTTTTTGCTTTTTTTCATAAGGAACTCCTGTTTTAAGTCAGGATAGCAGTGCAAAATATTAAGATTACGTTTGGACCTCTCTGTTTAGTTTGAACTGGAAACAGAAAAAATGGTACTTTAACAGCAGCACACGTAAAACAAACCATAAATACCTGATGGCACTAAGGTACTCTGAACTCAACGTAACAACTCGTACTATATTAGCATGCTTCTACACACATTACTGTGAGCAAGTTCTACTTCCACAGAACTATCGCAACAATGAGCTAGATGCCTGCCAAAATAAGGTACAGAGCTGAATTGCTGATGACACTTCTGTATAAAACCTGAAAAATTATCAAATCCATACAAAGAAGTGTACAGAGCAATTTGATTAAAGTATCAGAGTACTGCTAACATTGTATACTAAAGGTTCCTTAGGTTCTACCATTCTTATGCAGTCTACTGTTTTTTCTGGGTTTACTTCTTTTTCTAAAGCCAAAAAGAAATTAAAAATACCGCAGAGCTAAACTTTCGTTTCTCCCTAGTTCACTTCTACATTTGTAGCCTGGCTTAAAAGTTACAGATGGTACTTGTCCTGAACTGGGCATTTGTAAATTGGCCTCTACCATCGTGTGACTGTATCAGAATACTTCAGTCCCCTTGGTTCATTTAAAGAGGGAAAAACATGAACCAGGGCATCATTTCACTGAGAGGTGCAGACTCATAGTAAAAGACCCAGCTGGTAGTAAGCTCAAGAGATCCCACCTATTTTTTCTCTCCCAAAACAAGACCAACTACAGCTATATCATTGCTGACAAACCATAATCTCCAGGGACAGAAACACCAACCTTGCTAAGGCAATCTCTAAAAGCAGGCACAAGGGAGACCTGGAACAGTTTTCCCAATACCTGAAGTCCTTTTGCTGCAGTTTATGCCAACTACTACTTCCCGATCCCAGCACATATTACGATTCTAGTTCTCTTTGCAGCAGCCTTCCATGTGTTTTAAGACTGTTACCATAACAGTGAACTACAGGAACATGCATAATGCTCTTTCAAAGTAATTTTGAGTCAACACAGGAACATAAATTGCAAACAACTAATGTATTTCTATCATTACAAGACCAACTGAGTGACAACTGAGTCAGAATTATAGTTTCATTAGCTGAGACTGATTTATAGCAGAATTCAACAGAGGGGCATTTTCATGGCCTATGAGCCAAGTACAGCAGTTAAAATACAGAACTATGAATCAGATCTGGATTTGAGCGTTGTGACACTACCTGGTTTTCCCTAAACTTCACACTTTCTAGAGTAAGACCTGAAGCGATTTTAGGTATTTTTAGTAATGTAGTTTTGCCATCGCTAAGCTGAAGATAATGATTCTTGGCTTCGCTGCAAAATGAATTTTGATGTATGGCAAAAATGACAGAATGCGAAATGGCTAACAGGTAGTTCAATCCCCTTTCCTCTGCAAATGTACCACTCAGCCAAAAAACCTCCCCTCTTCCCTCAGCTGAAAAACAATACTTCAAGCATAAGATTAAGGGGAGAAATGTGACATTAAAAAAAAGAAGTGACAGAAACTGTGCAACTGAATGTTTTCCATTAAAAAAATCTCTTATTTCTGACATTACCACCATCATCCTCTACTGAGAATATATATGATAAACAACTCCAAAAGAAAAGTTAATTTCCGTTTCCACACATTTCAGTTCAAGTTGACTTCTACCTGCCTCCACATCTGAATGTGGAAAATTTTAAAAAATCATTTTAACACTGCCGAAGATTTTACAGAAGTCAGAAACTGTTATTTTTAAATGAAGTTTTCATATGAGTCACTATTCCAAAGCATTTAGAAACTCATGGCTGTTGGCAGAAACATACCAGTTTGGTCAAATCTTATGTATGAGAGACTTTAAATAAGCCCAGAAGGATTTTCAGGCCACAAACTTTGACCTGCCTTTAGGATCGGAGACTCCGTGAAGCTGTTCATGGGACACGGTTTGGTGGTGGACTTGACAGTGTTATGTTAATGGTTGGGCTTGACGTCTGAAAGGTCCTTTCCACCCTCAATGATTCCATGATTTTTACTTGCCCATCAATCTGTATGTTTTTGCTTTCCAGATGTTTGCCTCACTACATCAAAATTGTTGCCAAGCCACATCAGTTGTGCGTGTATAAACTCGTAAAACTCGTTTTAAAAGACCCAAACACTGTAGTAACAAAAGAATCAAATACTGTAAGCAAAACTGAAAACTCTCTTTTCAAACCCCACGTAACCAAACGCGCCCGGCCCGCCAT